AACTCCTTTGTTATATAAATTAATTCAACAAAAGTCTTGGTATTAAAAGATAAAAATCCTGCACAAAACGTAACTTTGGAATTAAATTCGTGCAAAAATATTGCCATTTAACCATTTATGCTCTCGTTTTATCAAGCAATTACTACGAAATCTTACGGAATTGGTTATACAATATTTACTTTGTTGCTTTGCGTAAAGAAAATTTACATTTTGAAACGTGTATAAATGAATCTTCATTTCGCATCGATGTCTTTATTAAAAAAAAAAAAAAAAAAAAAAAAAAAAAAAAAAAAGTTTCTTTCATAACATTAAAATAATACCAATTATAAAAACATGTCTGAAGTTCGTCAAAATATTATTGGTACTTTCTGTAGAAGACCACCTGTAGGGATTTTGGGAAGACAAGTTCGAGTGCGTTCTAATTTTTTTGAAGTCCTTGCTTTACCAACTCAAAATATTATCCACTACGATGTCACCATTACTCCCGATGTGCCACCTGCACTAAATAGAAAGATATTTCAAGAGTTTGAAATCACTCATCGTGAAGGGAAATTGAATGGAATTAGATCTGTCTTTGATGGTTCGATTTTTAATAACGAAAAATAATTATAACGTTATAATTATTGCGACTTATCAATCATTTCTTATTGTTCTAGGACGAAAGAATATTTTCGCTCCTCAAAACTTCCCATTTGGAGATGCGGCCACGTTTAACGTGAGTTATAAACTTAACGAAATTATTTATTTAGGTGATTGATTTCCTTTTAGTTTCTATAATAAAGATTATAAATTTAGGTTACTCTTCCCGAAAATGAAATAGTTTCTATCAAGCGTACTCCAAAAATTTTCAAGATCAAAATTAAGAAAACTGGAGAAATTTATATGGAAGAACTTCATCGATTTCTTCAAGGAAGAAATTCTATGACACCTAACTGCTTAACGGGTAAATTAATATTATTAGTTCCGGATTATTATTATTATTATTTTTATTTTTATTTTTTAGAACAATTAATTATATTTTTAAAATTACAAAATTAGCGATTATGGCACTTGATGTTTTAATTCGCCATCTTCCCTCTATGCAACATGTTACGGTCGGACGTTCCTTTTTCACCAAAGCTGGATCCAAACCTCTTTTTGGTTGTGCTGAAGTTTGGCAAGGATATTATCAATCGGCACGTCCCGCTTATGGTTTGTAATCTTTTAAATTTTAAATCTTAATTTTAGTATAATCTCTCATTATTTAATAATTTTAGAAAAGATGTTGATCAACGTTGACTTGAGCGCTACCGCGTTCTATGAATCAGGACCTCTTGTACAAATTGTTACCAAAATTTTAGGTCGTAGAACTCCTGATGACCTTCGTCGTGGCTTTACTGATAAAGAACTCATTAGGGCTGAAAAAACGTTAAAAAACCTTAAAATTCGCGTTATTCACCGTGGCGAAGCAACTTCCAAACGTAATTTCAAAATAGTTAAACTCACACCAACACCTGCATCTCAAACAAGCTTTGATACAGGCGATGGCACTACTATAAATGTTGCGAGTTACTTCGCCAAAACTTATGGTAGACGTTTATCCTATCCTTTCCTTCCTTGCGTAATAGTTCAAAAGAATGTTTACCTTCCACTCGAAGTTTGCGAAGTTATCGAAGTGAATATAACAATTTCATTTTAATTTGTGAATTATATGATATAATTTGTTAGCTTTAATGTTGGTATATAATAGGGTCAACGTCATATACGCAAACTTAATGATAAACAAACGGCCGATATGATTAAATTTACGTGTCAGTCACCACATTTACGCGCAAACAAAATTAAACAAGGTGTTGACATCCTTAGCTACCGTAGAAATGATTATCTCAAACAATTTGGTTTGGAAGTTACGAACGATATGGTAGTGGTGAGTAGATGTTATTAAAAATTTATACTTTCAAAATCGAATCAATATACAGTAAATTATTATTATTATTATTATTTATAACAGATCCAGGCACGCGTTCTTCCTGCACCAACTTTACAGTATCATCCTTCCTCACGAGAACATACTTTTCAACCACGCGATGGAGCTTGGAATTTAAAGGATAAGAAAGTAGCACAAGGCGCAGTTCTTGGTTCATGGTCAATTCTTGCATTTGGATCAGAACGTGAACTTCCAACACAATCTATTCAAGCATTTATTCGTGAGCTAGTAACTACTTGTCAAGAAAACGGAATGGTGCGAAATGATTTTATTAATTCATTTATCATATGATTTCAGCTAATAAGAATTATTCATCCTATCAATAGAGTGTTCCAAATAGAACACCCCCAATAATGCATACGAATCTTCATGGAGATATTGAGGGTACATTAAAGACATCATGGCTATATGCAGGCAATGCCGCTAAAGCTCAGCCGCAGTTGATCGTTTGTATTCTTCCCAACACCGGAGTTTCTCTTTATGGTGAAATTAAACGTGTTACCGATACTGTCATTGGTGTTGCAAGTCAATGTATCCAAAGTCGACATATGATGCAAGCAAAGAAACAATATTGCGCAAATCTATGTCTTAAAATCAATGTAAAACTCGGTGGAATGAACTCATTTATAAACCCTAGTCAAATTCCTTTCATTACTGATAGACCCACTATTCTTATGGGGGCTGACATTTCACATCCATCTTCTGGTAAGCAAAAAAAAAAAAAAATTATATATTCCGTAATTAATCCATTTAGCAAGCTTTCCTTTTGCGATAAATAGGTGACCTTACTCGACCTTCAATTGCAGCTCTTTGTGCATCTATGGATGCTAAGGCATCGAGATACTCGGCAACAATTAGAGTTCAAACTGGTCGTAATGAAATTATTGCAGATTTGGCTAATATGGTTAAGGAACTTTTAAAAACTTTTTATCAGACTTGCGGAAGGAAACCTGAGAGAATTCTCTTCTATCGAGATGGTGTTTCTGAAGGTCAATTTTCTCAAGTTTTTGAAGAAGAAATTAATGCAGTTCGGGGTATTCTAAAAATTTCTTTTTTGTATTGAATTTGATGAATTTGAAATTTATTTCTCGTGAATTAATTTTCCTTTCTCGAGATAGCTGCATGTATGTCTCTTGAGCAAACATATAAACCGTCTATCACTTTTGTGGTCGTTCAGAAGCGGCATCACGCTCGTTTCTTTCCTCTAGATAAACGAGACTCTGATAGAACTGGAAATTGCCTTCCTGGGACTGTAATCGAATCCGGAATCACTCATCCCTATGAATTTGATTTTTGTATGTATAGTTTTAAACGTCTCTAAATTTAAATGCTTTTCATAATATATATAATTTATTTTGACTAACTTTTTTTAGATCTTCAAAGTCATGCCGGATTGCAAGGTACATCTAGGCCAACTCACTATCATGTCCTATTTGACGAAAATGCTTTCACATCTGACGGGTAAGATATTTGATGTTATAAAAAAGAAATATTTGTTAATTTATATATACTACCGTGTATAAATTAATCATGCAAACGTTTTTAGACTTCAAGCACTTTCATATAACTTATGTTATGTCTTTGCTCGCTGCACACGCGCTGTTTCTTTGGTATGTTTTACAATTTATTTTTCTTGCATAGCATTCTTTGCAATTCTAAATCGATGAATAGGTTCCTCCTGTATATTACGCTCATATTGTATGCCGACGAGCACGATATCACGCAAAGGATCATTGGAGTGAAACAGAATCCGATAGCGAAGGAAATCAAGGGACTGTTTCAACTTATGCCGTAGTTAAATCTGAATTACAAAAAGTAATTATTTTGTTTTACCACTTTTTTTAATCAACAGCACCTAAACCTAAAATGTATTAATAATTTTTTATAGGTTATGTATTTTATGTGAAGTAATTATAAATATCTTTAATCATTCTTTTCGCGAGTTTCAAAATAACAAAAAAAACGCGATATGATAATGATATATTTGTATTTGTTAATCAGTACTCTTTGATATATATTTTCGGAAAAATAAAGTGAAATAATGATATCATACATAATCTTCTTTGTATCAATACAAAATGATAATTTCCGAATGAAATCATTGATGCATTAAATCATATGAAAATCAATATAAATATAAGTGATTTGAATTTGAATACAATTCACGTTCAATAACAAAAAAAATCCATACCAGATTATCTGGAAAGAAAGTTTTGTATGTAGTCATGAGAAAATGAGAAACCATCTTTTTTTTCCTGCATCTTTTGTGTCGGATATCCAAATTTGGACGTATCATGTAAGTTTGTGTGCATCTCCAATACATGAAGAGATGTGTACACGACTTACCATCTAAGAGGTATTAGCCGGATGATGCAAAACTGCATCAAGGCGGGATCACTACATCTAATGGTAAAAGTACAAGGTGATAAAAATTAAAGAGACGAGCGAAAGAACATACATTTTTATATTGTAATGGATTAAACAAGATATCCAATTATTTAGCAAAAAAAAACCTGATTGGCTGATTTAGCCTAATCCGGAAAAATTAAAGAGCAAAAGCTGCTGATTATATAATCTAATCATTGTTTGTTTACAAGCGATCAAACAACAATTAGCAAGGTTTGGGTTTGGGGGCAATTACGCGAATAAAAAACTTTTAATCGATTTCCAAATATGGTTAGATTTCAACATGATAAGAGGTTGTTCCCTTATCTTCACCTAATTTTGGCGTTAATCTCGTGATTGTTTTCGATTGTATAAGCAAATGAGATTTATCCCAAAAAGGTTTCGCTTTAGTTTACACAGTATTTTTTTTTTTTGGTGGGTGGATTAGATGGGAAAATAATTTGAATGATAAAGCATTTTTTATTTTGGTTGCACCTGGTAAAGATTACAAATTTCAATCAAAAAAAAAAATAAAAATAAAAATAAAAAATAAAAATTTATATAAAGTCATAAGTATAAAAAATATATAATATTGTACTTGTGAAATCTCTTCGAAAATTCTAAAAAAGTCCAACTCATTCATATTAAGTTAATCGTCAAGGATCTCTATAATCTCCATATCATAATCATAATTTACTTGTTCAGTCATTTCATTTTGAAAATGATTTGAAGCTTCCTCTCCATAAGCGCTATTATAAACATTGATTGCTTGTTCTTGTTTGATCAGTTGAATTGGTAATTCCATCTTTTCTTTCTCCTCGTCATTAAAACCTTCAATATCTTCTTTCAAAATCCTATTTTGAATTAAATCAGATAAGATATCATTAGATCGATAATGTAAGTGTAAAATTGCAAGTGGTATTTCAGATTTCTTTTGTAAAAGCGATTCAGCTTTATAAAAAAATACTGAAATGGCACCAATTAATTGTTGTTCTTTATCTTCATTTTTATTTAATACACAGATTTGTTGTTTGTTTCCTGATCCAACTAAATTTAATCCTTTCGGAATAAAAGAAGAACCAGAAGTGGTGGATGCTGTTTCCTGTATAGGAATTCCATCAATTCTAATTTCTGCAACTATGGGTTTCAAATATGTTGCTTCTGATGATGATACTTGAACTGCGAACGGAGTCGATGAGGAAGGAATTAAGATATAATGTAGATATTCGCTAAATAGGAAACAGGTTATGATAAGATTAAGTAATAAAAAAAATCCATTCCCCCAACAATAATAATAAAATATAAAAGAAGTCGTTCAAAATCTACCTTTCCATTCTTATTCCAGTTTGACAATTATCGACCCAATTAGGGCTTGTATATCGATACTAAAATAGCGCGTTTCCCCGAAAGGATTAAGATAATGAATTTAATAATTCTTGTTCTTACAAGAAATATAATAATGAAATTTCGATAAATTTTAAAATTACCGGTACATTTTTTCTTGGACCAAGGTATTCTTTTAACATGATATCGCTGATTAGGACTCGTAATTCATAACCTAGAAAATACATTTCTTTTTTTCTTGTATATCAAATGGATAAAACGTAAATTAATGCAAATTTTTTTTTTTTAAAAAAAAAAAAATGAAAAAAAAGAAATGAAAAAGTCTTTATAAGTCGAATTTAATGATATTAATGAGTCCAACCAAATTCGTAATATTTACGGAAA